CCCCAAAACCCCAAAACCCCCTAATAGCATTAAATATACATTTAGAAGAAAAAATTAAAAACAATGTAACTATATTTAAATTTATAAATTTTAAATTCAAAATGAGTCAAAATAACTTTCAACCTGCAATTGGTACCAATGATAATGATTCTAAATAGAAAGTGTAGGGGTTACGTAGTATATACCAATCCAGGTAATCGGAGCCAGCTACAAGTTATTTAAGATAAGCAGGCAGTAAGCTTTCAATGACTTCAAACAAGTCTTTTTACAAGTATTTTGAGCCAGTAGATCCCTCAGACAAATAATCAGAATCTGTATCCTAGGAAATAATTTAATAAGAGTAAAAATAATTGGTTCTTGACAACGCAGAAGTGAAGTAAATACATTCATAAGATTATATTGATGAGGCATCGAATCAGATCTTAGATGATTAGTATTTACAATCAATAAAAACCAATAAAAAGAGATCTATTTCACTTGGCCATCAAAGCCAAAGAGAACTTGAGGAATCAGAAAGTGAGCATAATTAAAGAGGAGTGATCGTAGATGCCAGCAAAAGATCATCAAGATCATTTTCAAGCCTTAAGAAGAAAAGAATTAGTTGGGGACCCTCAAAAATCCTTGAGTTCTACCCAAGTGAGTTATATCAATAAAATCCAAATGAGATGAGAGCAAGCCAGATGAGCTCAAATAGAGCTTAAAATTCTTAAGGATCTTAGAATGAATCCAAAAAGAGCGGTATACTTAAGAGGTAAAGCGAAGCAGTATAGCTTTTACCTGATAAGTAGATGAAAGAGGAGGTAGCAGCATAAATTGAATCAAAGAAAAGATACTCTCATTTAATTTATATGAAGGAATATGAAATGCCTCTTGTGGACTCCAGTTTAGATAATTCCCTGACTATTGATAATATTAATTATAACAATCAAATCGTTGGAAATTCAATAGTTGACTAGTAAAATTCTCAGAGCTAGGACATAGAGATGAAAGATGAATCTTTAAATTCATTTCAATAAAACTCAAAAAAAACATTAGACTAAAAAAATCTCGAGAAGCAAAGTAGTCTATTATAAAATAAAAGTCCAGAGAAAAAATAGCAGTTAAATAATAATTAATAGTAGATTGATGAATTTGAGAGATACTAAGAAAAAATGAATGATGAGCCGACTCCAAGAAAATCAGATATACAGACATTTGACAAGTAATAAAATCAAATCGATAGAAGCACTAAGATTATTTCTCATTAAATTCACAGTAATAATGAAAATATAGGCAAAACTTTTGATTTGAGAAAGAGCATTGACAATTCTAATCTAGAATTTCCAAGTTTACAAAGAAATTAAAATTCAATTGCATAAAAATAGATATAGTAGTAATCATAGCATATGCATTAGAAATTCAATCAAAACCAATGATAATCTGCCAATTTGAATATCTAAAACAGCAATGACTCTGTAGAAATATCAACATTTAGTATAATGAGAGATCAGGAAATATCTGAAATTCCTTTGTAAACTATGACACAGTAATCTCTTTCTAATACCAATTACAAAGACAAAGAAGAGCTCAAGTCTAGAAATTCAGTTGATACTATTTAATAATAAATTCAACAAAACTATAATAGTACGATGATTAAATCAGGCGGTGAGGATAATGAGCACTAAACTAGTTCTTTCAATAGCGGTCAATCCAGATAATCACTGTTTACTAATCTGAATCTAACTATAAATTAAAATAATGTCAATAATAATAGCAATGATCAAGTAGCACAGCTTCCTTTATAATTAGTTGATGCGAGGAATAATTAAAACTAAACTCAATCAGTTTAACCATAGATTTCAAATCTTAATCAACCAAGATCTAGAATTTCTTTGATACCTTAAAGGCATTCAATAGCAGGTTAACTGTTTGATAGAAAAAATAATACTGGATAATAAGACTCATAAGAATTAGATGGATCTACTGAGCAAGAACCTTTCAATTATGAAATTAAATTTCCTAGTTAAAATGAAATCCTGATGCAATAATTAGAAATCAATGACTAACAATTAAATCAAATTTATCAATTGAAAAATTCTTCTATTAACTAAAATTTAGAGATGATTTCTTAGCTTAAATTGGCACAGATACAGCTAGTGATCCCAGCTGCATAATAACTAGTACTTAGAGATTAGTTAGTAAAAGAAGCAATTTAAAAGCTTGATATTCTATAATAGTTGAAAGCTAAAGCTAATTAAATGATTGAGAGTAAGCAAAGTCAGATTGATAGTATCAATTAGGAAAATGTAAAGTTATTTCAAGAGTTGAAAGCATACTAAGAAATGAGTAAATTAGAAATCTTATGGGATAAATCAAATAATAGATAGACAGTAATTAGGGTTAGAGATTATTTTATATTGGATATTCTCAATACGAATAGAATGAAGCATAATTAGCTCGTTAGATAAGTAAAAATCACTCTAGATAAATAAATTCAATTATCAAAGAAAGCTTAGGAGTTTATGGTAAAATTACTTAACTTAATCTTGAGCTAAGTGGTAACTGAATTGAATTTGTAAGAGAATAGATACACAGAATGCTAATTTGATGAAAATAATTACCTAGAAATAACTAGTAAGATCTCTAAACTTGTTCAAGAAGTCTATAAATCCCTTAATGGCTTTGATGAAAAATTGCTTAATTTGCTTTTGTCAACTAAATTGATAGATCACTAATAAAAGATAAAAGATACTTTCAATATCATGTGTGCTCATGTAAATGAGGAACGATATCTATATATTTTCCAAGTAATAGTAACATATCTAGATGGAGTTAGTTGTAAATTAGATCGATAATCAATCAAATTAGAGAGCTCATAAGAAACTATAATGTAAAAGTAATCATCAGAAGGTATTCAAAGAAATAAAGCAAAGTTACAATCATTCTTATAATCCTTTGGTCTAATCTGAAATTCTTAATCTTAATTTCACTAATCTAAACATGACAAAAATCTATTCTTTTGGGGTTTTGGGGTTTTGGGGTTTTGGGG